AAAAAAAAAAAAAAAAAAAAAAAAAACCCTGCACGTGTAGAGCCATAAATTTTCTTAGGGTGGAGCAAAATTTTACAATCAATTTCCTCTTTTACGTATAATCTCTCAATTTTCAAAATTCAGGGGGCAAAGTAGAAAAGCCTAAGACGAACTTAGATGGGGAAACCCCCTCCTCCTTCCTTCTTCGCTCCACCTTGCCTGCTAAGGAGTCCCCTATCAAATACATATTTTGGGGAGCATGAAGGTCTCAAGTTACGTCAATTGACGACGAAACTTTGCTCGAAATGCTCACACAAAATTGAGTGATAGGAACATACATATGCATGTATCTGACAATTTACAGGATACAAGCGTCACATATTGGAACAAGATCTTGTCTAAATCATAAAATCCAGGAAGAAAGCAGGTCATATATCACATAATACCGCGAAAACTATCATCAACAAGCTCCCGTAAACGCACGATCAAATCCAGGCCAAATATCAAGAAATCAAGGGGAAAAAATCATCAACAACAATAACAAAAACAAAATTAACATCAATTTTTTTACCGAAACAGATGAGAGGAATCCTGGAAACTTATCCGTGATCCTGTTGCAGTAGCGATTAGGAGAAGGAAGAAGGAGAGATGAGAAAATTGAAGAAAAGGAAAGAGGAATATGAAGCAACGAAGAAAATGAGTTAAAAATTGTGAGGGAATCGGAAGCTGTTTCAATTTAATCCAAATATTCTTGGTGGGTAATGAGAGGCGTCTTTTTTCTTGTATTTCTTTTATTTATATAATAATAATTATTTGTCCTGTGACGCCGTGACGGTGAGGTCCACATTTCCACTCAACCCTAAAATGGAGCGTCTACAAAATGGGCTGGGCCAGGCTCGGTTGACAAATTGGGCCAATAAACTATAAAAGCCCATCTTAAAAATTACATTTTAAATTACATAAATGGAATTTTGAATTTAAAAAAAAAAATCAATTTATTTAAATTAACAAATCAATTCATATTTGGAAATTTTCATTTTACATATTTTTCCGTTGATTTTATGATTAATTTTTAACGATATACATTAAAATTATATCTTAGACTCCATATTCTATTTATACTCGTATACGGCAATGTTAATTTTTTTTTTATTAGGTACTTAATCACAAAAGAAACAAGGCCAAGGACGTAAAATATTTCATATCGTCCCGTCCCGCCCCACTTTTACCTACATTGAAAATTGAGTTTTGAGACACTAAGTTCAACATATTATATATATATCTAACTAAATCTTGTAAATAAATAAAATACACAATTAATCAAATTTATACTAACAACTCCCTAAATATCTCAGATATATTCTAATTAATATATCTCCAAAATATCCTCTTAATAATATGGCTCAAAATGAACCCGACTCAATACCAATTAAACGAATTTAATTAATGTACCTACGAACCAAAATAAGACTTCTGAAAGTGGCCAATGTCTATCCATGCCTACCCCATTTTCCCAATTATTACATTTTAAAAATATCATAATAAAAAAGATGACAATAAGGGTATTCATACGAGGGTATAACTGACCAAAATAAATTATCCAACTCAAATCTTGTATTGAGTTATTTTATTTAGATTTGAGTTAGTACCAAAATTTTGGAAGTCTACATATTGGTTGGAGAGGGGAACAAAATATTCTTTAGAATGGTATGGAAAGCAGTTCTTAGTAAACGTGTTTTAAAAACCATGAGACTGACATTAATACAAATGAACGTGCTAGCAGTGGGATTAAGTTGTTATAAATGATATCAGAGTCATATATAAGATTATACTGGAGGAGGGAACAAAATATTAATTATAAGGAATGAAAATCTTTTTACTCAATGGCAGGATGGGAAAGTGGACACTGACAAGTTTTTGCCATTTGACTGTTGGTGACAACAGAAAACTGAATTGAGATCGAAACGAGGAGTGATTTGAGTGATGGGGAGGGAGGTCTTTTTATTTGACTGTTGGTGACAACAGAAAACTGAATTGAGATCGAAACGAGGAGTGATTTGAGTGATGGGGAGGGAGGTCTTTTTATAGGGGATTCTCGGAATTGGTTGAGATTTTTGTGGATGAATTTGAATTCACCTCCTCCTTATCTTCCGTAACTAATTCAAATTCTATTATTAGCTATTATTAGTTATTATTAGTTTCAACACCCTCCCTTAGACTGAAGCGGAAATCAGTTTAGGACTTTATTTCATCTCCTTGATATACATCTTGGATTCTGCATATCCCCATCTTTCTTCTCTTCTCTCCACAAAATTGGATTGATTTCTTTTCTCCTTTTGGAGCCTAGTATAGCATTCATTTTGTAATGTCCAATGCGTCCACATCTGTAACATTCCACCTTAGACTTGTCAAAGTGTCTCTTGCCTTTGTTGTCATAATCGTTTCTGACTAGGTCTGCTGACCTGCCAACATCTCCACTTCTTTCTCGACTGCCTCTCTCACTACCTCTGCCTCTTCTTTGCCCTCTACATCTAGAGCTTGAAATTTCACTTGGTGTGGATATCTTTAAGGCTGTCATCTCCTCTATTGCACTTGTATGATTGAGCCTCTGCTCATGTACTAACAGGGAGCTTTGGAGTTCATCTATTTGCATTTCCTCGACATTGTTTGCTTTTTCGATAGAACATACAATGTAATCGAACTTTGGTGTTAGTGATCGCAAAATCTTTTCTACGACCGCAACATCTGTGATTGAACCACCATGCATCCTCATTTTACTTGCAAGACTTATAACCTTGCCAATATAATCATTCACTATTTCTCCCTTTTGCATTTGGAGAATTTCAAAGTCTCTCCTAACTGCCTGTAGTTGAGCACGTTTTACTCTCGTTGAGCCTTGATACTTCCTCCTCATAGAGTCCCAAATTTCGTTGGATGTCTCTTCTGAAGCATTGTTTCCAAGATAGTCCTATCAATGGACTGAAATAAATAGTTCTTAACCTTCAGGTTCTTCAACTGCTGCCAACAGTTGCTGTCGATCAGCTGAGAGTACCTCGCCTTCATTTGGCTCTTCATAACCTGTTTCCACCATATCAAAGAACTCCTTTGATCTGAGAAAATTTTCCATCAACATCGCCCAATGATCATAGTGACCGTCGAACCTCGGGATGGCGGGCTGAACGTAGTTCTCAACTTATTTTTCTGCTGCCATTTTTGCTCCTGCAAGATCGCTCTGATATCAGTTGACAATAGAAAACTGAATTGAGATTGAGAGGAGGAGTGATTTGAGTGATGGGGAGGGAGGTCTTTTGGGGATTCACCTACTAGTGTAACTAATTCAAATTCTATTATTAGCTTATTAGTTTGAACAGTGACTCTCCAATCCCACCGTTCGCCACTCACAACTGTCTTGAGCAATTCCCAACCCCCCGAATGCGACTAATCATTTTCACGGCGGCGCGTGTCACTCACTCACTGATCTCACTCGTAGCGCTACTACTCTTCTGTTCACATTATATCACCACACTTTCTGAGTGTGTCTGTACGTGAAGCAGAGACGATGGGGAAACGAACGACGAAAAGTTCGAGATCGCAAACGTTACCTTCATCGCCGTCGCATTCTTTCTCTTCCTCTTCATCATCCGATTTCGAATTCACTATCTCTGTTTCACCTCGTCAAGCCTCCACCGCGCTCTGTCCCGCCGATGAGCTCTTCTACAAAGGCCAGTTGATTCCTCTCCATCTCTCCCCTCGCCTCTCCATGGTCAGGACGCTCATTTCTCGCTTCCTCCAGAACGTCGTCGTCGTCTTCCGAAACTAACAGCACCACCGCGTCGCGCGATTCCAACGAATCTCACTCCTCCTTCAACAGTGGCATTCTTCTTTTCGCCGATTGCGATTCCTCCAGACCTAGCTCCGTCACTGAGGACGACGAGTGCAGAGCGCGATTCGGTTCCAATACGATGAAGAATCTCAACAACAACAACAACTCCAATCTTAATTTGCAGATTCCGATTAAGAAGAGCAAATACTTCTCGCTATCGAAAATTTCTTCAATGTTTAGAAAAAAATCGACGAAAAACAATCCAGAGCCTGAAACTGTATCCGGATCGCATATCAAGAAAATTAGCTCCTCCGCGAAGGAAGTTTTCAGGAAGTATTTGAAGAAAGTCAATCCGTTATACGGAAAAAATTCACAAAAGCAGCAACAGCAACAGGAATGGACGACGAAATCAGATAGATCTAGTAAAGAGGAAAAACCATCAAACATCGAATTTTCAGGCAGCAACTCCGGGAAAGAAAGCGGATCGAGAGCAGTATCGCACTCATTTTCCAGTAATTTGAGATATCCGAGAATAAGAACCATAGCCTCGAGTTGTCCGTCATCGATTAGGTCATCGCCGAGCTACTCCGGCATGCTATCGTCTCGGAATATGTATTCGAGTAGTAGGACGAATTACGGCAACTCGTCGTCAGCGGAGGAGTTGCAGAACGCGATTCAAAGTGCAATCGCTCACTGCAAAAACTCCATGGTCCAAAGCAAAGGGCGGCAATAAGTAATTTGATTAACGAAATAATTAACTAATTATTTCTTACGCTAAATTAAGTGTTAATTAATTAGTTTTTTTTTATTATGTATTCGACATTAGTTATATCCTAATTTATATTTTTTCTCATTTTTATATTAGAAATAATTTCTTTAAACTAATTAATTTTATTATTATTTTATAATTTCATGATTTAAATTTTCATTCACCCCAGTCAATACTTAATTTTAGTTTTATGATATTGTTGAACTATATTAAGATATTATAATTTTCGATTGATGTGGTTGACGATGAGTTTGTCTTTTTTCAAACATTATAGATTGATTTGTTTTTATTTGTAAACTTTCAATATCTTTTAAAACCGAGAATAGAGAATTAGGTTGGGTTACCCATCCAACCAACTGGAACCGAACTTTTGAGTTGTACAAAGAAATTTCCTCACACAATCCAACCCAACTACGTAAACCCCTATTGAGTTCTCTCCATAAAATTGCAAAAACAAACACATTATAAAAATAAATAAATAAAAATAATAGAAAGATAAAACATGTCTCGAGCCCACATCGAACCTAATGGAGGTTGAGGCATATGTGGGCTATTTACACTTAAGCTACCGATGATATTTTATATTTCAATTTTCTTTTCAAGTGGAGTTGGAGTTTGATACAGCTGTTGAGATGGAGGCACATGAGGTCTATTAACTATCAGTAGTCTCATCACATTTGAGTCTAGATCTTCTTTTATACTTGTGTTTTTAAATCATGTATTTCGTGCATTCTACATGGTAAACACATTTTTAAAACTTCGAGAAAAACCATAAAACGAAGGTCAATATCTAGTAGCAATGAGCTTGAGCGGTTACAAACTCACCCGTATAAATTGGACTTTCACATTATTTTAAATATTAAATACTTTCACATTATAGTATTCTTTTATGGTTACTTGTTATTTTATTTTTCGTTAGATCAATGAGTTAAGGTCATTACGATGGTGATATAAAGAGTTTTCGATTTCGGTTATAATGCGATACAAATTATTAAAGCTGTATCGTTTCAAATTCATCCTCTTTGTGCCCAGCGTCCTTGCTGACACTCTTTTCTTCTTCCAAATGATGTGGGACTGCCATCAAATCCACCCCCCTTTCGGGTTCAGCATGCTCGCTGGCACTCTTTCTTTCTTCCAATCAATGTGGAACCGCCATCGAATCCAGGCATCACAATCCACTCCCTTCGAGCTCAGCGTCATCGCCAGAACTCTTTCCTTCTTCCAATCGATGTGGGACTGCCATTAAATTCATCCCCTTTGGGCGCAGCGTCCTTGTTGGCACTCTTTCCTTCTTCCAATTGATGTGGGACCGCCATCAAATCCACCCCCTTCGTGTTCAGCATGCTTGCTGACACTCTTTCTTTCTTCCAATCAATGTGGGACTGCCATCAAATCTAGACATCACAATCCACCCCCTTCGGGCTCAGCGTCCTCGGCAGCACTCTTTCCTTCTTTCAATCGATGTGGGATCGCCATCAAATCCACCCCCCTTCGTGTTCAGCATGCTCGCTGGCACTCTTTCTTTCTTCCAATCAATGTGGGACCGCCATCGAATCCGGACATCACAATCCACCTCCTTCGAGCTCAGCGTCCTCGCCAGAACTCTTTCCTTCTTCCAATCGATGTGGGACCGCCATTAAATTCATCCCCTTTGGGCGCAGCGTCCTTGTTGGCACTCTTTCCTTCTTCCAATTGATGTGGGACCGCCATCAAATCCACCCCCTTCGTGTTCAGCATGCTTGCTGACACTCTAACTTTCTTCCAATCAATGTGAGACTGCCATCGAATCTAGACATCACAATCCACCCCCTTCGGGCTCAGCGTCCTCGGCAGCACTCTTTCCTTCTTCCAATCGATGTGGGACCGCCATCAAATCCATCTCCCTTCGAGGCCCAACGTCCTTACTGGCACACCACCTCTTGTCTACATCCTTCGGAGAACAACGATAAGGCTGACACATCGTCCGGTATCTGGCTTTGATACAACTTATAACGACTCAGATCCACCGCTAGTAGATATTGTCCTCTTAAAATTTTCCTTTTTAGACTTCCCCTCAAAACTTTAAAAAGCGTTCTCCCTCAACCAACTTGTTACATCCCATATAAATTTTTTAAAAAACTAAATTAACGGTTTGAGTATAAAATTTTACAAACAATTGGGTGGGTGGTTTCAATTAGTAATTCAATAATTAAGGGACAAGATATTCAATAATTAACTGATAAGTTATTTATTTATTTATTATAAAGTTGGTGTGATTTAAATATTTCATTTATTATTTTAAATACCAGGTGCTATATTTAATGTAATAATTAATATCATTATTTAAAAAGGGGAAATGGAGTTATTGTGTTTCCACTAAAAAGAAAAATAATAATCCAATTTATTGAAATGTATTATTTAATTTAGATTGATTTTAAATTCACATGATACAAAATGTGACACATGTCAAATTTTGCATTCATATTAGTATGACATGGAATGACACAGACAATAGAAAAAAATACGATAAAATTTTTATTTTAAAATAACTCAATATTATTTGCTAAATTAATAAAAATATCTTTCAATTTTATATTTTATCTTAAAAATATATCTAAATTTGTACGGACAAAACATGATGAAATGACTATGTTAGTACGTAATCTTGTCCACTTTGAGTGTAAACTCTCGTAGCTAAACTTGTGGTGACAAAACATGATGACTATGTTAGTACGTAGTCTTGTCCACTTTGAGTGTAAGCACTCGTAGCTAAACTTGTGCTGACAAAACATGATGAAAACTATGTTAGTACGTAGTCTTGTCCACTTTGAGTGTAAGCTCTCGTAGCTAAACTTGTGCTGACAAAACATGATGAAATGACTATGTTAGTACGTAGTCTTGTCCACTTTGAGTGTAAGCTCTCGTAGCTAAACTTGTGCTGACAAAACATGATAAAATGACTATGTTAGTACGTAGTCTTGTTCACTTTGAGTGTAAGCTCTCGTAGCTTTGCTTTGTGTTCTCCAAAAGGCGTGAGTATTTTTTATTATAAACTAAGAGTCTTCACTTTTAAAAACAAAAAATGAGTAATATAACCATGTTGCATGAAAATGTCGGGGTCATTAGATGCCGAATTTAGATTCTAAATATTGGACATGAGTGGTTAGATAACATCGATGTTATGGATGCCTTCCAGTGGCCCGAAATCTTTCAAAATTAAAATCCAGATTAAAACGGTAAAATATTGTATTTATTTTAAATGATTAAAAATGGTTTGGTCTAGAGCGATTTTAAAATAATAAAAAAAGTGATTAAACTATTTTAGAATTATTTTTAACAAAAATAAGAAATAAATTAAAAAAAAAAAAAACTTTTAAAACAATAGAAACGACGTCGTTTAAGAGTGCAGATGAGGAAGCGGGTTCGGATCCGGGTAAACGGATCGGGTAGGGCAATACGGCGGAGAAGACGGTGGAGTTGACGGAGGAAATGAAAACCAGACAACAGAAAATGTCGGAAAGGATCAGAAAAAGGATCAGAAAAGTTGAAAAGACGGATCGGA